GCCATGTGAATGGCTGATTAGAAAAAAAAAATAAGATGAATCATGATGACATTTTCTTTAGAGTTTTTTAGTTAGTTATTTTTTTAGAGACAGAATATTACATTTCTGTTACACTTGACCATCAATTAAAGTTGATTTAAAAAAAAAAAAAACATTTGTTTAACAGAATCAGGAAACAATAAAATCTTGGTGTCAACAAAAATATTAAGCAGCAATTGTTTTCAACATTGATAATTTTGAGAAATATTTTTTGAGCATCAAACAATCATAGACTGGTTTCTGAAGGATTGCATGACACTGAAGGCTGGAGTAATGAAGGTGAAAATCCAGCTTTAATTTCACCGAAGTAAACTTATATCTTAAAATATGACTAAAGAAAACTTACTCCTATGTCATCCTAAAAAAATTTGATAATTAACAATATTATTGGACCCCACTGGCTTTAAATGCATTAGTCTGTAAATTAAAAATATATTAAATAAAAAGAAGGAGATTTTTCAAAAAGTCAAATAAAAATGGTCTTACAGGCAATTTTAATTAGCATTTGTTGTGAGGTTTTTTTTTTTTTTAACGCAGACCTGTCAACCCTGATTATAAGCATAAAGCCTGCAATCCTTTAAAGAGAAGAATAATCTTGGTATTAATAAATGTGCTTTTGGGATGGTTCAGATAATGGTAGATTAATTTATTGAGGATTATGTGGATTCATCCTTCAGTGCTGCTGCATCTTCAGCCCACATGCTGTGATCACCTTTGTTCTCCAGCTCACAGATTCATGGAGCGGTTCAAAAGCTCCCGCTGGAGAGAGAAACGAGTGACAGAAACAGAGTCTGATGCTGTTGCAGGTCTTCAGTGTCAATGCTTATTGCAAGAACATGAATTTGGTGAACACACTCTCATCCAAACAGACACAATCAACCAAAGTTCTGCTTTGAACTAAAAACAAACTAAAAGGCCTACAGAACTCGTCACTTGTGTTTTGAGCTGTTGATGCATACTGAGACTTTTATATGAGAAAAGGGACATTCTTTAAGAGACAAAAGGAGAAAGGCAGTTAATTAAAGACGGGACTAATGCAATTACGTATGCGAGAGTGCAATTACAAACCTGCAGGAGCGTCAGCGTCAGCCTGAGTCCCCTGGGTTTTCATGGAAGTCAGTTATGTTTACTGTCTTAGATTATTGCTTGATGCTTGTTGCATGTGTCAGATTTCTTTTATGTAAGCACTGTAATTAGAGACATTTCATATTTCAGTTTCTGGTTTATAAATTTAATTAGAAGTACAATTAGACCTTGTTTATTGTTTCTGGCTTTGCAGGAAAATTCAAAAGTTCTGGGCCTTGATTAACCAAGAAATTAATGGTATCCTATTAATATTAGTTGTGACCCAAAGCATATGCTGCCTGGGATATACGATAAAATTAATGTGAACAAACTTAAAAAAAAAAAACTTTTTGCAAGTTCCTGACATTATGTGCAAGAAAATGTATTCTCCTGAACTGGATAACGGACAAAACTCCTATACAAAGTCTTTATGGCACAGGGCACTGCTTGAATATGTACCACTGGACTACTTGACTTGTGAATTACATGGCAAAGATGTTTTAATTCATGAGAGGTGGGATCCGTTTTTGCTTTGTTTAATTTACCTATTATTATTATTATTATTATTATTATTATTATTACAACTTTTCTTTCCCCTTGTTCTGTTCATTTGTCACTAATATTGTTATTAAAAGATATCATAATTGTTGTTGTAAATGTATTGCCTGAAAATTTAGTAAAACAAAATTCAAAAAAGTACCGTTAAATAAAAAATAAACATATGAAGTAATTATTTATTCTTTCTTCATCATTCCCTTTTTCCACAATTGCTATAGTGTCTGTTAAAGAGCCCATATTATACATGAAAAAGGGTCATATTTCGGTTATATGGGTCTCCAACAACATACTGATATGCATGCAAGGGCAAAAAACACTTTCATGGTCTTATAATATGCATTTATTTTTACCCAATTATCCCAGCGACTCCCATATGAATTGTTCAATGATTCATTTGTTCCCAAACCCCTCCTTAGTGCGAAGCTAATCTGTTTTGAAGCAGGTTTTTAAATTTTCCCGGGTTTGCGCTCATAACAACTATGTTTCGTAGTCACGTCACGCCGAAACGGCTAAAGACTCATTCATTCTAACCACTATGAGTCGACTCTTTTTTTTTTAGATTAATCAATAGTTTTAAAAACGGTCCACTTTCAGATTTAAGCCTAGCTGGATATTTCACTTCACTTAGATCTATGTTACACACTACATGGAAGCTCATTTTCGAAAACCCACAATAGGGGCTCTTTAAAAAATGTATTTTAAAGTTCTGTTTTAAAACAATGTGGCTTTTAATTTTATCATTGAGATACTCATTCATTCATTTATTTTATTTTCGGCTTAGTCCCCTTATTAATCTGGGGATGCCACAGCAGTATGAACCGCCAACTTATCCAGCACATTAGTTTGCACGTTTTTTTTTTTGTTTTTTTTTGCAATACCACATTTGAAATTAAATGTGTTATATTTCTACTCCTAAAGATGTTAGGTGACCAAACTCTAATTTTGATGAATAGAACTGTTTAATAAACCTGTTTTGTTTAAATGGACCAATAAATATTGTCTATATTCACTGAGAAATGATTAACAATGTTAGGGGGTGTGCTCAGCTTTTATGTTTGCAGCTTTTATGTTTGTCAGCCTTAAATGCATGCTTTCATAACTTTTTAGTAATATTATTAGCATTATTATTATCCCTTCAACTGCCCCACCAAAAATAATTGGATTGCATTCACAATGTTGTATTATAGAAGGTACAAACCCTTGTCACTGGGGCAGTACCTTTTTATGGAACAGAATTGTACCTTAAGACAAAGAAACAAATTCGTACCATTGCAGTTTGTACCTTTAAGGACTTAATTTGTACCATTGGAAACTACAGTGTATCTTTGGTTTTTAAAATCTGCAGATACAAAATTGTTCCTTCACCAAAGGTGCAAACGTGATCCATGAAGGTACCACCACAGTGACAAGACACTTTGCACATTAACAGTATCAAATGTGTTCCCTTAAAAGCAATTTAAAGGTATCTAAAATGTGTTAATTTATTTTCAGTAAATACTTATTTATTTGTTCATTTTCTTGTCAGCTTAGTCCCTTTATCAATCTGGGGTTGCCACAGCAGAACGAACTGCCAACTTATCCAGCACGTTTTTACACAGCGGATGCCCTTCTGGGAAACATCCACACACACACGCACACACTCATACACTATGGACAATTTAGCCTACCCAATTCACCTGTACTGCATGTCTTTAGACTGTGGGGGAAACCGGAGCACCCGGAGGAAACCCACGCAAACGCAGGGAGAACATGCAAACTCCTCACAGAAACGCCATCTAAGCCGAGGTTCAAGAATGCTTTAAATTATGCTGTGAGGCGACAGCACTGCCTACTGCGCCACTGCGTCACCCTTCAGTAAATATAAAACATCAAATACATTTTTAAACAATGTTTTTTTTTAAGTTTCTTTTAGTGTAAATGCGCCTTTTCCATTTACAATAAAGAATAGAAAATATTTTAACATAAATCAAAGACCTGTTTTTTGCTAAACATATCACAACACTTTTTACAAAAATGTTACAGAAATACATTCTCCCTTGTACAATATAAAACTTTTTTTTCTGTAATTTTCTCTCAATACCTTTGTAATCACTTCAAAGTTAATTTAATTTAATTGATTTTAAAATAGAAATAGAATTATGCAAAAGTATTGTAACGAGATATGCACAATGTTTGATTAGTTTTACAGTACTAAAATGTCTGCATGGACACTTTGCATATGCAGGACTTTTGCCAGCTCATGTGTGTAGTGGAAAGCAAACGCTAAAAGGTGCGGATATTAATAATGAAACTGTATTCATCAGAAAATGCTTACCAAATGTTTATTTAAAAATGCCTTAAATGTTTAGTTTACAAAACCTATAGTTTTGTTTTACCAGTTGTTGTTTTTTATTATAGAGGTTAATAATTAATGTTAATGACTTTCTTTACGCATATGTTTTAAATTATGATTCATTTTTTGATATGGAAATTATTTATAAAATCACTTTTTCCAGTCATTTTTATTTTCATACTGTAATAAAGGAGTTGTCCAACACTTTTTATGAGAACAATTGTTTACCTTCGTTTCAGTTGTAATATAAAATGTACAGAGCAGTATCAGAAGAGGTTTTTTTCTGTACCATATAAAGTACAACCTTTACATAGGAACAAAACTGTTCCTTAAGGAACATTATTACCACCATGTACCTTTTTTCTGAGAGTGTAAAGTCGCTTGTTAGCACACTCAATGCCTTTTGTTTTAACACATTCTATAATTTCTAAAATATCAACCTATACCAAGTGATGTTGGTTTATGGTAAAAGTACTGAAATTAATACAAATACTATGACAATCCGAAAATACGAAGTGTTAGACCAATTTATTTAAAAATGTAATCAAAATAAAACATAAATCATCTTTATTTATTAAAGTGTGCCATAAAATATTTCAGATTCTCATTTAACTTGTTTTCTTGTTTTACAATAAAACCAAAATCAAGTGTAGTAGTAGTGCAACAGGATTGTTTTTTTGTTTGTAAACCAACAATACTGTGTGTGTAAACCAATTTTTAAATCAGCCTTTAAATGACTTTATTTAAAACAGTTTGTTAAACATTTGGTAGAGCAGGCAGTTAAACTGTTATTATTATTGTTATTAATTTTGAAAAGGCATATGTGCTCAGCAAGCTGACAAGAAGCAATTAAATGAGGTGTAAATGCAGCAGAAAGCAGACTGTCAGTTGAGGCTGAAAGATGCAGCTCTTCACGGATGCTTTGCCTATGCGGACACAGACTCAAGTGCTCCAGCAGAGTGTGTGTTTGCGGTGTGTATATGTGTGTGTGTGTGTGTGTGGGTCTGCTCATGCGCTCATGAAGAGATGCTGCTGCTGCTGCTGAGAGGTGTGTGCGCTGCGGCGGGCGCTTATTTACACCCGTTCAGTCACACTGCTGCTAGAGAAAAGCTCGGGCGCTCCTTAGGACATGGACTTTCTAAAGGGATTCATGTGTCTCTGCGCTGATACATCTCAAGGTTAGTACTGAGACATGGCGTTCTCCGAGTCTGTTTCTTTACGTAATCTTATTCTTACCGTGTTACGCTGTTTCTGGTGTGTCTGCCATCATTTTTCGCTCTGCGCTCGATCTGGAAACGTTTTATTTTCAGTCTCTGAAGACTGCGCGTCCACTGCTCTCCTTGGCGCTTCCGTTTCTCTTCGCTTTAAATGGGAAAGACGTGTCACTCTGCTGTGATGAAATGGATTAAAGAGAATATTTCATTTTTGAAATGACATTTTTAGGAAAATTAGCATGCAGGTAAAATATTTGCGCGTTTTTCGTAATCTTGTTATCTTTATGTTTTATTAAAACCACAGATGACTTTATGCATACGGTAAATGGTGCAGTGCTACACCATGATTAGTCCGTAGAGGCCACATCACAGAGATCTTAACATTTACAGTGAGTTATAGCTCCTGTCAAATTTGCGTTTTTAATGACATTGGAAGTGCAGTCAAATAAGTGAAAATATGTATATAAATAAATAAGACATATTGATGTACAGATCCCGCCATGTGCGCCATACTCTTATCTGAATGAACAGGTCAGAGCTTGTTTGTAAACCTATGCGCATGCATTAGTTGCGCGCGCTTGTTCTAACTATTGTGTTCACATTCATTCACGTTACATTAACCCGTTCAGATCCGTATCATGTTCCAGTGAGTTTCCCTGCTTTATTTGCACTTAAAAACCCTTGGAGGAGAATCTATTGTGGTTCCTGTGCGTTGGTCATGGCTGGCGCATGCTAGCTCGCGGGCCAGTTACCTTGTAATAAGGTTGTTTGATCACCTCATGATGTTTGCTGCTTTCTTGCTGGTCCAAGACGCTCTGCAGTCAGCTTGGAGCAGCTAAAGACCAGCTTTTACCAGTTTAGCTGTTCTTATAAATGCAGCCAAAGAGCAAAATGTGATATAGACATCTGACACTTACTTTGACGTTTGAACATTGTAAATGAAAACCTATCTTGGTGTTTTGTTGATACATAGTTTGTGTTTTTAAAGATGATCTTAAGGTTTAGAGATAATCTATCTATCTATCTATCTATCTATCTATCTATCTATCTATCTATCTATCTATCTATCTATCTATCTATCTATCTATCTATCTGTCTGTCAGTCTGTTTGTCTGTCTGAATAGAATGATAGGTAGAAAGATGTAGGCTGTCATTATATTTAATAATGTTTATGTAATAATACTACTTTTAAAATACAAACATAATACTTAGAGTAGCCGATATGACCATTTTCTACTGTTATACAGCATGATAATTTAATTTAGCTTTTGACTAATGATTACAAATTAACAATTTAGCAACCTATCAACTAAATATTTTGTGATTCAATTACTGAATTACTGAAACGTACATCAGATGTAAACAGGTTAACATTTGAGCAGTTTCATTTTTGTTTTTAAAAGGTAAATAAAACACTCTTGTTTCTTTTTTGTCTTGTAGCTCTGCGTTTGCCTCATAAGTCCCACAAGCTGTTTCTCCAAACAGTGTGGAAAGGATTTAAACAGCTTCACTACTGAACAAGGAGTTTATGACTTGTGCTACAACCACATTTTAACTGCGTGTCAGAAATGCCCCCTTCCATTAATTGGTGCATTAGGTGGGCTGTCTGCTTGTCCTGTATTCTTGCACTGATCCCCAAGATCAGAGGGTCGACGCTGAATTGTCACAAAATGTGCATATGCGCCAGCAACATTGTCAGCTGTTCTAAGATGAACCTGACGATGATCCCGTCTGACCTGCCGAACTACACAGCCGTGCTTGACATTAGTTTTAATGAGATAACCGGACTACGCGCACAATGGACCAAGCACAAACTGCCCAATCTCCACAATCTCTTACTCAGTCACAATGGTTTGTCATTCATCTCTTCCGAGGCGTTCATATTCGTAAAGCAACTGCGCTACTTGGATCTTTCATCAAATGTTTTGCGACAGCTGGACGAGTTCATTTTCGAGCCACTGATACATTTGGAGGTTCTTCTGCTCTACAACAACCACATCTCGCAGATAGACCGCACAGCCTTCTTGGGCCTCGGTAGCCTGCAGAAGCTCTACCTGAGCCAGAACTTGGTATCTCGCTTCCCTTTGGAGCTCGTCAAGGACAAGAACCGACTGGACAAGCTGAGCCTGTTGGACTTGTCTTCCAATCGGATCAAAGTTCTCCCCATTCAAGACCTGCAGGCGCTTCCGGCCTACATCAAGAATGGACTTTACTTCCATAACAACACCCTCATCTGCGACTGCGAGTTGTACAGTTTGATGGCACATTGGAACATCAGGCGACTCAATTCGGCTTTGGACTTTAAGGACGACCATACCTGTGTTCACCCTGGACCGGATAAACGGGTACTGCGTTTGTACGAACTCAACATTCATATGAACTGCAGTACGTTTAAAGAAACAGACAGAGAGGCTTATTTGGAGCAGACGCTCATCCTTGACTGTGATACCCGACATCGGGAGATGTCAAAGACTTGGATGTTACCTGGAAATGTAGTGGTTTCTCCTGGCAATAACCTGAGCGCTGTGGTTCTCCCAGACGGTGATCTTGAATTAAAAACAATACGACCTGAGGACTCGGGTGTGTACACTTGCTTCGCCGTGAGTGAATACCTCAACGAAACACTCTATGTAGTGGTCAAAGTCCACAATTTTACCCTCAACGGCAATGGCGATACCCTCAACACTGCTTACACCACTTTGGTGGGTTGCTTGGCAAGCGTGGTCCTAGTTCTTATCTATCTATATCTAACACCCTGCCGCTGCTTCTGCTGTCCTGACAAGTCAAAGAACCATCATGAAGACAGCATCCACTCCTCTATGCTCAGTGTCACTCCAACGCATGAGGACATGGCCACCAAAGCAGAGCTCAACAGGCACGTGGCCTTCATTGACCCCAAGGACCTGCAGGGACAGAATGGAAAGGTGAATCCGAACGGAGATGAGGAGGTGGATGAGGAGGCCATGCAAGGAAAGGGAAAGAGGAAGAAATCGGTGGCAGACTCAATCAGTTCAGTCTTTTCTGACACTCCCATAGTAGTCTGAGGGAGGATGTGTATCTTTTGACCGGAGACAGTTCATTGTTGTGGCTTTCTCGGACAAAGAGACTTTACACAGTTTGCCATCCTCAGTGTTTGGCTGTTTCTGCAAAACCTTTCCAGCATTTTAATCTGTAGCACTTAAGTATATACTGTGAAAAGGTCTTGCCATATTAGTGGAATCTAAACTTGGAGTGTTTAGATGTTCCTGTGAGTTTCAAGCCCACTAAGTGTGACTAGAGGTAGTCTGGGTAAACGTCACATGCAATCTGCGATTTCTCGGTGATCCAGCTAGAAAGCTAGGTTGAGAAACATTCGAACATTAGCACATCCACTATATAATCACGTCATAAGCATGAGCTTTGCAGACTGCTAATGTACAGAAGAATATAGCATAGAATGAAGCCCTTGTAGCTTATCATATTTACCACCTTTATTGCTAAATGACCAACCGTACCACTTTATGAAAAGCCATATGCAGTTGGTCACTGCATGGGGAAAGCAAAGCACTACTGCATTTTAGAGAAAACCATGACAAGAAAATGACGGAAAACTGTGTTTCTATGGAATATTATATGTGTGTTCTAAATGAAGGAGTCAAACAGCGAACCGAGGATTAATGGTCACTTTCCTATGAGATGTGTGTAACAGGTAAAACCCATGTGATGATAATTTCACGTCTATTAATAAATGAAGAGTTTAGATGCAAAACCTCTAAATGCCTTTTGAAATTTTCCTCCAAAATTAGCACTTTTATCAGGCTACTGTGTGTTTGTTTAGTAATGTCACTGTTATGGCAAAGAATAAGTCCTTTTCCTGGTCTTTAAAGGTAAATATCTCAACTTAAATAAAGGAGGCTGAGAAAAACGTTTATTTTCGATGGAAATTTCAGACGGCACTTAGATGTTTTTGCATCTGAACTCTTCAAACATACAAATCAAATTATTGTGAAACTGGATTGGCTGGTTAAATCTAGACTTTTTTAAACAAGCTAGCACATAATTGTGCTAAGACCACAGACAAAAGGGATAGTTCAGCCAAAAAAGTTGAATTATGTTGTAATTTTTCACCGTCTACTTCTTACAAACCTGTTTTAATTCTTTAATCTCTCAAAATATAATATTTAGTTTCCTACTATGGATGTCAATTGCTACCTATTTCCAACATTCTTCAAAATATCTTCTTTTGCATTCAACAGAAAAAAGAAACTCATAAAAGTTTGGAACCACTTGAGGGTGAGTACACGTTTTCAAAGATTTGAGTGAGCGATCACCTTAATAAATGTGTATAATCAAATGTGTACATTTATTAGCAAAAAAAAACACTAATTACTAAAATCCTGTGTTCATTCTCAGCCGCTTGAGCTCATCTATCATGACAACCAGAAAGTGACATATAATGCTAATGCAATCTTTAAATAGAATGACGTGTCCCATCTGCTTGCTATCTCATCTCTAAGGCTATGATGATTTGAGCCTGGATTCAACAGCCAAAACAGTTTCAGACACTCAGACCTCTTCTCACTCTGCGTTCATTTGCACTTGTGGTGGTTGGAGTCAGTGCTGACTCATCCATTGTCGGAATGGATGTGTTTTTTTTTTCTTTCTTCCAGCCCTTGAAGCACAGATGTAATCTTCATCAGCCAAAAGCTAAGGAATTTGTATTATTAGTTTTAACTCAAAACATTCTAATTCAAATACATTTTAAGAATTAAGTCAAATCAAGCTTGAGCTCAGTTCAAAAAATGTGGTGATTAGTCGATACCCCTGATATTCTAAATGATTACTACAGGCGAACAGCAGCGATCTCTCAAAGAGCAATGCTATATTTACATAAACCATGGCATAGGAAACTAGGCTATGAATCATAATGTAATGCGTAAAGCTTGCTGGCTGTGCTCAAGGAAGATGTGACTATATCCATTTCAACCTGATACCGACAATTTGCATTTCCATTACAACATTATTATCCTTGTGGATTCAAAAGCCTTGATAGGGATGTTCTAGAACATCATGTAAGGATCATAATAAGGAAATTAGGATTTTAGAACCCTTTAATAAAATAATTCACCCAAAAATGAAAATGCTGTGATGATTTTCTCATCCTCAACTTGTTTTCTGTTGAACAAAAAGGAAGATATACTCAAGAATGTTGCAAAAAGAAGCAGACAGTGACTTCAATAGTATATTTGTTCTACTATGGATGAAAAAATGGCAGCTTTCCCACCCAGCATTCTTCATAATATCTTGTTTTGTGTTCAACAGAAGAAAGAAAGTCATAAAATATTCATAAGCACTTGATTGTGAGGGTAAATGTTAAGAGATTTTTCATTTTTGGGTAAACTATTCCTCTTAATAGTTTGTTAAACACTAAATTAATTTCTGTCATTAAGCAGTGCTAATTTTTGTAACAATTTAAGATCGTTTGACTAAGAGATTTTTGTCCCTCCACTGAAAGTCAAAACAAATGCTTCAAAACATTCATAGAGAGCAAAAAACAATTCCATATAAACTGAGCCGATCTAAATCTTTTAAAGAGACATTCATAAAGTGCATATTCTCAGCAAAATGTTCCTCTCTTTTCTTATTTCAAGCCCCGCCCCCTAATCAATATTCTGTTTCAATTGGAAATACATCAACATGCTGAAATAAACTAAAACAGCTAAAATACAGGACTGTCCTGGGAAATTCTGAACATCTGGTCACCCAACATATAAACAGTGATCAGTAAACAATGTATTTCCCAATCAAATTTGGTCACGGAAGCTCAGTCCTGCTTGCTTGATCTGCGAGAACCAATGAGGGTTATTCTTACATGTCACATAGAACATCCGAGTAGGGATGGGCCGGGATAACATTCTGACGGTATGATAACCTTGGATAAAAATATCATGTTTTCACTGCTTTTTTTTTACTGCTCTAAAATATATTCTTTTTATATATCTGGGTAAAAAACAAACACATTTCTCCCTGTTGAACACAATATATTTTTTAAGAAGCATTTAAAATATTTTGGAACAGTAAACATGTCTAAACAAATGAATCATTAACTTCTGCTGTCTTCATTAGTTTCAAAAACACGGTCTTCTTTACAATTAAAAACAGCATCTTTGGATAAATTTTCTGCTGAAGATACTGTTGTCCTAAAAAAAAAAAAAAAAACATAAATAAATAAATCGTACATATATCACAGGAACGGCACAGCAGAAAATGTTGGCGGTTTTTAAAACCCTTTCCAAACCATGATATACCTTGAAAACGGTTATCGTCCCATACCTACATCCAAGTTTCTCCATGAACCAACAATATTTGTTCTGGCATGTCAAGAAGATAACGTTGAGCTTCTCTTTATGTTTATAGATCAATGTTTACACTCACAGATCAATGTTTACATAATAATAAAAGCCACAAATTTAAATCTGGTCATCAAACGTAGTGGTCATGTATTTGTAAAACATATGGATTAACCCACTTGATTTGTGTAGATTTACTTTAACGTTATCATTACAGTTTCAAAGATTTTGAGAGAACAGTTATGTTAATAAAAGCCAAAATTTTTAATCTGGCCATCATATGAAGTGATCATGTTTCTTTAAAGGATATGGATTATTTTAATGTTATTGTTGCAGTTTCAAAGCAATTGAGTGAACAGATATGTTAATTAAAGACACAAATTTAAATCTGGTCATCATACGTAGTGGTCGTGTATCTCTAAAGAATATGGATTAATCTACTTGATTCATGTAGACTTATTTTAAAGTTATCTTTACAATTTCAAAGCCTCTGAGTAAACAGATATGTTAATAAAAGCCATAGGTTTAAATCTGGTCATCATACGTAGTGGTCATGTATCTCTAAAAGATTTGGGTTAATCTAATTGATTCGTGTAGATTTACTTTAACGTTATCTTTACAATTTCAAAGCATTTGAGATAACAGTTATGTTAATAAAAGCCACAAATTTTTTTTTTTCTTGCCATCATACAAAGTAATCATGTCTCTCTAAAGGATATGGATTCGTTTACTTGATTCCTGTAGATTTACAACAATGTTATCGTTACAATTTCAAAGCATTTGAGTGAATCGATTTTCAATGGAATATTAAACAGAGCAGAATTCATTAATGAAAATCTTCAATTGAGCTCTGAAAGTCTTATGAGGCTGACTAAACAATTTAGGGACGAACGAACCCTTAAATTCTGGGAACACTACTTCCATTCTTCTGTTCCTGGAAAGAAATCAGACCCATGTCGCATGTTAACCATAACTGCATATTTATAACGGGGTCTGGATGGGTTCAGCATGAGCAATCTTGGTTTTGGTCCGACCTCTTTCCTTAGTAACATCGTAATTGCATCCTGTTTTTGCGAGCGAGGGAGTGGGTGAAGCTATTAAATGTTTGATAGGTGGATGAACTGGCAAACAGTATTATCTCAGGGAGAGAGAATGACAGATAATAGCAGCTATGGCAGACTGCAGTCATGGGCAGTTCGCTCTCTTACATGTCCCTCCAGCTGCAATCCAAAATTAGTGTGGAGGAAAGAGAAAGGCCTTACCATTACGAGTGCTGTGGGAGGAGGCCTGAGATCTAGCAGTCCGTTTGCAAAGACACCGAAAAGCCAAACCCCCCCCCTAAAACCACAGTTTTTTGGCCCCTGTCACGTGTGTGTGTGTGTGTGTGTTCTTCTAAAGTGTTTGTCCTTGGCTATTCCGCTACCAGTTCTTGTGAACGGCCACTGTTCATTACTCAACATCTAACAGTACATCTGTGCTCAGTGTTTGTTTTTACAGTGTTTATGAGATGGTGTCATTTTAGGTAGCTTTTCTCCCCCCCTCGAGGTTCCAAAGAGACTGAATTCCTTGTTCTTGCGTGTTGTTGTTGCTGTTGTTGTTTCCTGTACAGTTGTCTAGATTCCACTTGTGACTATAGCATATTGGTAAACCTATTTTAATGACACGGACTGTAAAGGTTTTTCTCTGTCATGTATTTTGAATTCCGACCGCACATTCGTGTCTATCGTGTGTTGTTATTTAGGCACATCAATTGAGATTTTTTTAAAAGATGTCATTAAATTAAATCTCAAGAAGCATCAAAGAGCTAATTCTGTTGTTTTACTCTTTTACTCTACCATTTTACTCTTGTAATCAGATGATTTTCTAAGTGGAATGTGATATTTAACACGCACACAAATAAAACCCTTTTAGGCTGGGAAATAGTTTGGGGAACTTAATACAAAAAATGGATAATTTTTTTGGCTAATGGTTCGATAATCAATATGATACAAGATGAAAATTATTTGGTTATTTTACTTTGAAGGGATAGTTCACCCAAAAATGAAAATCCTAGCTCTTCACTTACCTGTTCAACACTTGTTCCAACCACTGTAAGGTTTTTTTTTTTTTACTTCTGTTGAACAGAACACCAATTAAAATGTATTATCTTGTATAGAGCTGAAAAACCTGTAACCAATGACTTTCATATTTGTTTTTCCTACAATGGAAGTCAGTAGCCCTTTTCACACAGTGATACCGTTAAATATCCAAAAATTTTCATCCGAAAAACGACTTTCCCGGTAAATTCAAAAAAGTGCCGTTCACACAGGCAAGGACG